GGGACTTAACTTGGCTTTTATCTGCTCGCACATAAATTCCTTTTGGCATTGCCTACTTCAAGGTGCCGCTTTCTGAACGCTCAATTACAATATTTTGGGTCTATGTAAATTTATGAACATTTTCATTTCGATCAATTTACTTTGGTCTTCCATATTTTGAGTGTGTGTGCGACTGACCAAATGTCTATTTTATTTATGTCTTTTACGAGATGACCCAACGCATAAAAAAAATTTATTCATTGAAGTTTTTACAGTCAACTACACCTTTTCAATGTGGATAAAGATGAGCACGCTTATGCTTGCCATCTTTCTCTGTCCCTCTCTCTTTCTCTCTTGCTGCCTAGTTTTTCTCTGTCCAACTCTTATGCCGTTGTAATCATTCATACTTCATCAAGTTGACCGACTACGGCTCGGCTTTTATTCCATTTCTTTTGCCTGCGGTACGACAGGGCCAGCCGTTGGCTTCATTGCTATGCAAACTGCTCCCAATGGCTACGTTTAATGGTCAAGTGTGTAAAATTGCATAGCAAATCGTAGTCCGGTTCTAGACCAATTTTAGCGATGTATGCGGCCGTGTCCTCAGATAAACATCCTTGCCCAGGACTCAGGACTCGTTTGCTTTTGGCTGTTGTTGCCTCTCTTACATATTGATGTGATTTACCACTTATGACTTTGGGGCGTCCAACAGTTTACTGTGCAAATTGTTTGGAATTCAGTTTTGAATTAACCATCCCCATCCACCCGTCCTCTGAGTGTGGTGCGTGTCTCCAGCTGTTATGATACATGTGGCAAATGTGATGCTCGTTAAGACAGTAAAATTCTGGCCCGTTTAGATGCTTAGTTTATGTGTTGCTTTTGCTACTGACATGTGGTCCAATCGCTGTTCAAATGATGTATTTGGCGAGGCCGCCAGCTCTTGCATCCATTCGATAGATTTTCAATTTGCAAAGCATAACCGAATTTCCCAGTACTCTCCCACCTATTTTCCCTCATCGTGTCCGTTCATGGTTGAGTTGTTATAGCTGATTTCATTATAATTTCGATTTGCATAAGCAAATGTCTAAGCAACAATTTGGTAGGGCCCTCCGCCACCCCATAGCTGCTGCCCAGTTGCGTCAGATTGAATCGCCTGGGATTTTCCTGACATCGTCAGGAGCGACAGTTCATCACCAAGAGTGGCGGGCGCTAAAGGAGCGTACACTCAGCTGCTTGTCAAGTTGTGACAGTGTATCAATTTTGGGCTCTGACCGCTTTCAACCCACACCCCGACCAACAGACCCACCTATTCTATTGCCAAGGAGCTGCTCACATTTCATTAGCTTGTCAACATTTGTACAGCTCGGGCCATGTCTTTGACACTTCGGCCTGCGGCGCTGTGTGGGCTAGGGTGGATGTGGTGCAGGGGTATGGACAGCAAATTGAAGTTGCCATAGATGCTGCATTGTTGCTGTTGTTGCCCTAAATAGTTAAACTGCTTAGCGAACACTCCTCATGCTGGTGCGTACGTCTTCCGATTTTCGTCCAGGCACCAAAGCTGGGTCATATGCTGTTTTTGGCAAAGAACTGGTGAACTGGTCGCTCCTTTTGGTTGCTATGCAAATCAATTTCCTCAGCGCGTTGCCGATGAGGCTATTTGTCTACTTTGTGTGGTTCAAGATTTTGGTGTTTGCTGTTGCTCTTGCTTTGCATTTTCTTGTTTTCGTTCTCTAAAATGTTACGAATGCTGTGTTACTTGGCAGGTTCATTAGTCTCAGCAGTAGCAGCAGGAGCAACAACAACAATCGCCCCACTTTGTTTAGTAAACTTTATTGAGCGCCGTTTGAACTTTGATATCCCATTTTCGTAACTTCATCTGCCTGGCGGCTTCCCTGCTACCTGTTAGCCAGGTTCTCAACTACATTTAATTTGCTTTAATTGCCATAATTTAGCTAACGCTTTTGTTCGTCGCTATTGTTCTTATTGGCCTGCTTTGGTTTTTCTATGTAAATTTAATTGACGCACAAATTTAAAGCTTATAAATAACTTGACTAGAGCCAGCGCACAGGTAACAAGGAACGGAACACAAAGCAGAAATCCTTTGAACAAAGCAAGTGCATGAATAGAAATCATAAATTTGGCCAGCAGCCATAAAAAGGATACCCCACACACATACACAAAATAAATAAATATGTGTGTGTGTGTGCGTGCGTGAGTTTGTGTGTGTGTGTGTCGGTCTATGCCTCTGCTATCGATACGCTTTTGATCGATAGATTTTGATCTATACAAAGTGCTAGACAAAGGAAAAGTCTGGCAAGCAGGTGGCAGCCCTGCCTGCGTCTGCTGCTTCTGGTAGGAAAAAAAATATCGGAAAAATCGCAGCACGTAGAGCACCATGAAATATGCTCAGATTGCTCGGCATTTTCCCTGCACATATATATATATATATATATATATATATATATACATATATATGCGTGTGTGTGCTGCTATTTTATTTATTTTGTTGCTTTTTGCTTTATTGTCAGGCGCAGCAAATTTTATTAGGCACTCTCCTTAAAGCATGCAACAGTTTTTGGCAACAGGCAGACAACAGCCAATTAGGCATAGGCCAAGTGGAAGGCGGCAAGCGGCAAAGTGGCAGCAACTGGTTTCGGTTCCTGTTGCGCCGTTGCTGGCGTCGTGCCAGCAAAGCTTTATTGCAGTTTAATAGGCGGCGGAAGCGGCGTTGCCTAGTGCCAGTCAATATGGCAGATAAAGATGCCGGCATTAGGCTCTGGCATATTTGTAACTGCTCGACTCTTCACGCATTGCTTTTAAACCACTTAACGCAAATGATGTTGATATAGCGAAGGGCAACTTTTTTGTTAGACTGCCTTTTTTTTTATTTTTGGCAAAACTTTGGGCATAAACACACACTTGCCATAACGTGGCACGCTCTACATTTGCGCTGACTGAAACTTGTTGTTGTTCTTGCGCTACTTTCGCTTTTCTTAAAAGTAGGCAACAACAATAACAGCAACAAGAGCAAAAGCCAGCAAGCGGCAAAGTCGTTGAGCGCTAAAAGCAACGCAAAATGTAGAAGAAAAAAATCATTTTTTTTCTACAACTTTTTGAACTGTGTGTGTGTGTGTGTGTGTGTGTGTGTGTGTGTGTGTGTGTGTGTGAGTGTGTGTGTGTGTGTGTGTGTTCGTGTTGTTAGAACAAGTTAATGTAAAAGTATTTTTATGCTTTGAAAAACATTTGCCAAGCCAAAAATTGTAAAGAAAATAAAAACAGCAAACAAAAACAAATAGGAATGTTCTGGTCGGGTACAAATGACTGTGTAATACCCGTTCGGAATTCAATGAGAGCTTAAGACAGTCTAACCCCTAACAGTAATCGCCTTTCTCGTTTTGCCATTCAGACAAAAATTCATGAACCGATATTTAATTGAGTACACAGGTAGTCTTCATTCCTTATTTGATATATTACGCCCCTAGTGGTTGACTGTCGAGGATATACCAGAGTATATATGCCAAGCTTAAAGTCTCTATTCTGAAAATCACAGAAACACCGACATTGGGCAAAACCAATATACTCTACTCACTTTGTGAGCGAGTATAACAACAACAAGTAGAAGAAGAGCAGGCTGCGTAGGCACGCTGAAGGCAAAGCCGAACGCTATGAAAATTTTTGTGGTTGCTGTTCTTGTTATCCAAAATACACGAAAGCGCATAAATAAAATCAAACAAAAAAAAACCGAACCAACTCTCGTTCACATCATCAATGTCGGAAAGGTACTGACAGGGGGTGTTGAGAGTGATGGGTGCTGGTCGGGAGGTGCGGTAAGATTGGGGGTTGGGTGGCTCGTTGTCGAGCTATGAGAACCCGCACATTATCGTCATCGTCATGGATCAGCCGCAATGCTGTAATTTTGTTAAAGGCAACGGCACGCGTGTGTGTGTATGTGTGTGGTTGCACAACCTGGGCTATCGTTTGGCAAGATAAATGTCTATTTAAATTGTCCCTGTTTCGCTATGTGCCTTGGTCGAGCGCCGGGTCGTGCCGTGTCGTTTCGTGGCAGGGCTTTGTGTCTAGCGGCATGCCGCCTGCTGCTACTTCACGAGCTCCTCTAGTTAAATCTTTATTGTTATCATAATTTGCTTTTATCCATGCTCAGGGCTTGTCAAAGACTACGCCGGCAACCTGGGCCTAACCTACTTACAAGTATATACATATATACATACGTATATATATCTATATATTTTATCGTAATTGTTTTCGTGCATTTTTTGTTCGAAATTTCGTTTGTCAAAAGCGGAAAGCGAAACGAAAGCGAAAGTGAAGAGCGACAAAATGGTGCGTAAATAGCATCAGGATCTCCGCTTCGCTCCGCTTGTTTAGCATCTGTGTTTTGCTTGCCTTTGCAAATCAATAAAAGTAGATAATTGAGATTTCTTTAACAAGATTTTGGGTGTCATGATATTAAAATTATAAGTAGGCAGCAGGCAGCGGCATAAATTACTCATAATTTGATTGCAAGTGAGACCTTGAAAATGATATGCCTAAGGCTAGAGTGTAGGGAACGACCCAAGTTGGAAATGGCTATTAAAAAGTCTGCCAAAAATGGGCTCATTATGTGCACAGAAAATGTCAAAATTGCTGAAATTTAATATTGTCAGGAACACAATACAATTAAAGAAATCATTGCTACAAAAGCAAAACAAAGCTCATTATTTAATTATAGCGCTCGTTAAAATTTAAAAATACTTTTTATTTGTATAACCTATTTGTTTGATTTGTCGTACTTTATTTGTAAGCAAAATAAAATTCAAATTTTAGTAATTGTTGTAAAACGAAACCCGTAAATTAAAATACGTGCATTTGATATTGTATGCCCTTTAACTACTCTATGAATATATATAAAAATCTATATGAATACAGAGATTTGTTGTCCAATTGTACACGTTTCTTCTGGGCTTAAGTCCGCCGAAATATATTCAATAATAATTAATAAATTTCTCTCGTTTTCTCTGTTGCAGGTAAGGATCGATGAACAATTTCTGTATAAACTCAATCATTTGGTAAGCCGCAATGCAGATATATATAGTGTATAGTGATCCTTGCCGCACAAACACCATTCTCATTTGTACACGCCCTGTCCGCAGCCTGCGTAGCAGTTGTAGTAGCGCAGCAGAGCATGTGGGCCCTAATTGAATTTTAAATAAATTCACTCAAATAATAAACATACACAGCCGCACACACAACCGCACACACACATCTCATACACGCACGTACTAAGTCTTTTTGGCTGGAGTGCTGCTCGGCTCCGTCGTTTTGTATTTGTCTGCTTTTTAACTGTAAATAAATTTCATCGAATTTTCTTGGGTTGCCTTTGCCTTTGAAGACATACACATCGTTGCGACGCAACGGTTCGCCTTGTGCAGCCGCATCCAGCGCCATAAAGTATGCAATTTTATTTTAGTGCGCCCGGCACTTACCTGCCTGACTGGCTGGTTGTTGGCCTGGCTTGGCCTGGTTTGGACTGGGCTGCTCGCCTGGCTCTCTGGTGCTGCTTTTATTTGTTGCTTTAATGCTATAAAATATTTAAGTTTACATTTCTTATACTCGCTTCGCTACCCGATCATGCCTCCTGTTCACTGCTCCGGCACAAGATTTGCCATGTGCTATTTTCTTGTTGTTATGAGTGTGTGTCTGTGTGTCTGAGTGTGTATGTGTGGTTGTTGTTGTTCTCGTCTCATCGCATTGCATGAGTTGCTGGCTGACCATTTTTATAACAGGATTTTCAAGAAGCATCTTAGCCGGCCAGCTCAACGGCTTGGCACTTCCGAGTACAGCAGGAGTCAGCCACACATGCACGCACATATGTTTGTCTGGCTTTAATATTTGTTTTGCCATTGTCGCTCTAGTCTCTAACCTCTCAACCTGACCCTAACTGACCTGAACTGGCTATTTGTGCAGCACTTGGCACTGCTTCTATGATAAACTGCAATTTCATTTTTATCAGCAAATATAATTAACTATGCTGAAAAAGGCAGGAGCTGTGCGCACTTCACTTGCGTTTTATTTAAAAGTTTAATAAGTCAACTAAGTGATGTGCAGCCATTAGGTAATTAATTTAACACTTGGTAAAACCCCCACAGCTTCACAACTAACTAATTGGCTTTTACTGGCCAATTTAATACAAGAAAAAAAAAATAGAGAAAACGAAAAGGCAACAGACAGGAATAGACCAACGGGCAGTCGGACAGACAGTCTTAAGTCGAAAGTCAAAGCGAAACCGAAAGCCAACGATATACGAGCGCAGAGTTATCAGCTCTCAGTTCTTCACTCTCAACTCATGGCAGTCATTAATGCTATTTGCGGCACATTTAAGGTTAAACTTGGCCTTAACTGAGCCAAGGGCTCACCCAGCCTCTGACCTAAACACAAAACGCTTCAATGAACTGGTCAAATGCTTAAAAGGTCGAACAGGTGCATGCTGCGGCTTGGGTTGCCTGCTCAAAATCACTGAAGCTGGGCAAATTAATGTGCCCAGCAAAAAAGGGTAATTTCTGTAACCCAGACAATAGATAGAGTAAAACAAGTTAAATGATCAACCTGGAAATACCCTATGAACATGTATAGCAAATGTTCTTTGCAACGTTGACCTATCATGAAGACACATGCAACCCTTTACAAACTTTCGCAGGATATGTTACAAAAAACTTCGGGCAAAAAACTTGTTGCGCGCTTTGTGTGCAACTTTTTCCGCTGTTCAAGATGAAATCAACTGTAGATAGAAGTGAAAATAGACAAGGCAGAAAACTTCACTGTTCTTTTTTTCACTTTTTTTTTGGTAATGGTTAGCACGGGTGCCGCTCATTGAAAAAAAAAAGGGCAGACTGAAAAAACGAAAACCAAGTTTTTTGAAAAGGGCTCTAGGGATGTGTTTGTCGATGCCTTTGGCATTAAACTCATTAACGGTAATTGCAGCCCCTGGGCCACACATCCCTTAATGCATAGTGCGTTTTCTTTAAAAAAACGAAATTCTGTTAATTAATTTTCGCATGTGGCACAGACTGCTGCCAACTTCAACAACATCAACAACAGCAACAACACCACAGCGGCGGCAGCAGCGGTAAAATCTCGTTAGGACTAGCATTTGTCAATGTGACCTGATCTTGTTGTCAATCTGTGAGTGCGAGTCCTTCGCGCATCCTTGCTGCCAATTCTGCCGCTGCTGTGCTTGTCACTTTGACTTTTGGCGCTTTTCAATTACACCAGAAAAAGAAAAAACGCGAATGCATACAAAAAAAAATGAATGAAAAGCCGAAGCTTCCTGTTGCTGACACTGATTGTCGTTGCTGGCGGTGCGCAGTTCGCGTTAGGGACGCATAATTTGTCCTGCGGCCAAATGTTCTATTATCAGCTTGTGCGGCGGGCTGTTAGTGTGTGTCTGTGTGTCAGTGTGTCTGTGTGTAGAAATAATATCCATCAGGAAAGCGCACTCAAAAGATGCCCCAGATACAGATACGAGCCGCAGGCATTTAACTGAATTTGAGTGGAAAATAAAAGCAAAGTAAATCGAAACCAAACGCCGCTAAAAGAGCGACTCGTTCAAGCGCTGCTGCCATCGGGGGCCTGTAGACAGCCCAAATCAACATGTACATCTGTTGGTGGCGCCTCCGGGGTAGCCCCTCGGCCACTCCGGCCATGCGAAAGGCTTGGGCTTGTTTTGTTGTTGCCTTTGTAAGGGTCTGTATGTTAAGCCCCTGTTTGGGTCAGTGCAACCTAATAAAAGCCCACAACAACAGCAAAAATAGCTTTCATTCCTGTTGTAATCAAGTTAATTGCAGTCATGACTATGTGTAGAGAGCTCGAGAGCAACAGTGTGTGCGAAAGAGAGCGCATTACTGTGAGTAATTGCTGTTAATATAATAAGGCTGGACAAAGGACACATGCATAACGCTCAAAAGCACGCAATGAAAATATAAAAACGAAGAAAAACAGCAGAAAAAATCTACATCAGAAAAACAATAACAACCACACTCAGCGCACTGTCATAGACAAAGCTAAAAATTGATATTAATTTCCTTTTTGCAGCGCTACGCGTGGAATGTCCATAAAAAGGTAACGCAAAAAGGCATTTAGCTGTGTGTATCTGGGTTTGTGTCTGTGTGTGTAGAATAGACAAAAAAAAAATATATATATTTATGTGCCATTTTTTCTGCCTTATTACACCGCAGCGTCGAATTTAGCTTGACTTGTGCTGCTCCAGCCAGAAAATATCAAATTAATTAGGGGCGCTCCGTTGTCCGCATACTCCTCCGAGAGCCATAACAACTATAGAAAAATTTTAGATAATTGAAAACCCTTTTTGGGCGGCAGCAGGACTAAAATGCCAAAATATTACTAAGTGTCCATGCTTAATATAGTTAAGTGAAAGCATTTGGATATTGTATTAATAAGGATGCATATTATTTAAAATGTTAGCAAATAAATTGCATTCGCTTCAAACTATTAACTGTGCATAGACAATTTTAATAGTTTGCAATCGCAAATGTTAATAGATTAATAAATATTCATTGGTCTTTCAAATATGAATTAAATAATATAATTTTGCCATGTTTAATTAAGACTCAACTCAATAATTTTCCGGTCAATTATTTTCATTTGACTTATTTTCATTTACAATTTTAATCCAACAAGTTTAGTAGTCAGTCTGAAATATACTGCTTAAATTTGGATTCTGAACTTATAATTCGAGATGAATGCTGTTGTGTGCTTTGCAACACTACTAATTTTGCTATAAAATGAATTAGCTATCCTTAAGTGACTGCAAAAACCGTTTAGCACTTTGTTTGTCCAAGCTATGCTAGACAAATTAGTTGTTGTTTTTATTGCATTTCATTTAGTATGTAGTACTTGTAATTTATCTTGTAGGGACAGGCAATTATAAAGATGTAACATCAAAGGCCACTTGATTATATTTGCCAAGGTGCTCTCCTCGTAGGCTTCTTGATTTATGTTTGGCAGTCAACGACTTCATTTTATCAAGCTCTGCAGCACAAGTGGTTTATCAAACTGAAGTTGACAATAACAACGGCAACAACCAGAGTCTAGGCTTCTCTCAATCTGGTCAATTGTCATACACTCAGCTACCCACATAATGAGCGTAAAGTATGGGCTCAAATGTAAATACAACGAACGCCGTTGTATGTTGTCCTGTCCAAGGACACACGAACAAGTAGCCTCCGGACATGTGCTCGGCTGTGTTCTGCGTTGAGGGCGATTCTTTGACTCTTGCTTTTGCCTTTGCCTAAACGCTTCAATGGCTAATTATATTTATTTGCTTGTAATTAACGAGTTGCCTGGCATAATTAAATTTCTTCGGCGCACAAAAGTATGCAACGCTGTTATTGTCTGCCATTCGTTTTGCTTGTGGCTGTGTGCGTTTAACACAATAGTTACAACAAAAGCAACAAGAACAACAACACAAATAGCAGATGCAAATCTGTCCATTGTTTCAAGTTTTGTTAGCTGCTTAATAAAATTTAACAGCTGCAACGGTACGCGGCATTAAAACCAAGAAAACTATTTCAATGCACACACAAAAAATACCCCAACAAAGAGAAGAAAAAAAATAAAGGCAAAGGCAAAGCCAGCAGCGTGCAGTCAAACTTTTTAAGTGTTTATTTCAATTATTGTTTGTATGTGTGTGCCGTCTCTTAGTGTCCTGTGGGTGTGTGAGTGTGTGCCGTGTTTTTGGCTGTCTCGCCAAACAAGAGAACGAGCCAGAACGAGGGCAATTTAATTTTCCGCATTTTGTGCAGGGCACGAAGGCGACAGCAAGCACCAAAAAACACCAGCAACAACAAGAAAATAAAACCAGCTAACAATAACAAAAACTAGTTAAGAAATGAGAAAGTTTTTAGCGTGAAAGTTGGTCTGGTTTTCGCCCATTTTGTTGGCCATACTCCCAACTATAGGGCTCGGTTGCCTGTGCTCGCGCTTCGTCCTGGCTTTGTTTTCATTTTCATTCACGTGCAGTTACTCAATTTTTGTGCTCAACGAGGAAAAG